GATCCTGGAATAAGCAGGTCAGGCTGGATTTCTCATCTGCTCCCTTCTTTTCCCTTGCAGACTGGGTCAGCCAACAGCCTGCCCCTGTCCCTCACGTGGGTGGGTGGAGTAAGAGGTAGGGTTCCAGTCTCACTATGAGGACCATTTCCTTACAACAGGTTTATGACCAGAAAAAGAGACAGCTGAGTGCCAGAAAACTAGAGGCCCCCCAGCCCTTACTGCAAACCCAAGCTCTCTCTTCACCACAGACTCTGGCCAACCAAGGTCTGAGTCTCAGTCTCGGAAGACATGGAGTATCTCTGAAAAGTAAACCTTTGACTGGTAAATTCAGAACCACAGCTCTACAAACCAGAGGGCAAGGGCTGGGAACATAGCTCATTCTGAAACTGGAGGCCTTGTTGCCCCAAGAGGCTCAACCTGTTTGAGGAACAAGAGACCCACAGATGCCCAGAGTGGGCAAGGAGCAAGACCACATTTTACATGGACTCAGCTAGCAGTGGCCTACAGTAGGGACTGCCCTGGGCTGTGGCCAGTCACCGGACAGGGTGTTCATATGCACAGCCTTTGCAGATATTTTGCGTGTCCAGTCCCCAAGATCGGCACTCCCTTAGGATCAAAGAGGTTGAGACTAGTTAGTATTTGCTCACACAGGACCTGAGAGACAAAGAGAGGGGAGGCAAAGGGAAAAAGCCAGCCCCAATATTTCACTTGCAAATCCTGGCAGGGTTCTGAGATGAGGGTAGGAAACTTTACTTTTCCAGACAGCAAGAAAGTTATGCAAATGAATGCATTTGCATGGCAGTCCTGGTCCCCAAAAATGACTTAGCATACACAGGTTCCACTGCCCCAGGACCCCACCTGAAATCCTGCAGGTCTGATGGCCAAAAGACTTCCTGACCAGAGGGCCTTTGGGTAGTAACTTATATTCAGAGCAAAAATAATTCCCTCCCTGGGATAGGTTGCTGGTGTGTTAAAAATCAAAACGCTCTGGGTGCCAGTGGCTCATGCCTGTAATCCTAGCTACTCAGGAGGCAGAGATTGGGAGGATCATGGTTCAAAGCCAGCCTGGGCAAAACAGTTTGTGAGACCCTATTTCAAAAAAACCCATCACAAAAAAGGGCTGGTAGAGTGGTTAAGGTGAGTTCAAGCCTAAGTGTCAAAAAAAAAAAAAAATCAAGAGTGAAAGATTCAATATATTAATATTATTATTTGTCCCACAGAAGGTCCCAGGGGCTTCACGTCTACTGTGTCATGGGGACCCCAAGCACAGGGGATGAGGAAGGCTGCAAAGTGCTAGGGCTTTTTAAGCAGTAAAGGCTAAAACAACAAGGAAGGCCCTGGTGACCTCTCATCCCACTCTTCCAGGAGGGCCTCCAAATTCATGTAAAGCCATCCGTTTTCACAGTGATTCACAAAATGCATAATTACAAATGACCTCAGTTTAAGATATCACTTCGTAAGGCTCTTTTAAAATGAACAAACTGAAAAACAAGTGGGGAGATCCCTGTCAGATTAGGTTCCCAAATTTTGGTTTGAGAGTAAACATTGTGAAGGAGGGGACTCCAAGTTGGAGAGGTAGGAAAGAGAAAACGGTCAGGAAACACCAAGGGCATCCCACTGAGAGGGGCAAACCAGATTTCCATGGGCAGAGCCCATAGGGACCAAAGGTCAAGCTAAAGTGCTAAGCAAACAGTGGTTTAGACCAGAAGACATAGGGACAAGCCTGCACTCAAGGAAAGATCTGGCTCTCACAGAAAAATCAAAGTACAGATCAGTGGGAGAAGCTCCACCACACTGTTCCCTCATTTCTGCTGTCAAAACTGTCCTGCAAGTGCCAGCTCAAAGGGCAGTAGGAAGCTCTCCTCGAAAGACAGCTCCTCTCCCAGCACGACACCACTGCTCCCACAGACAGAAGGTTCTCCTGCTTTCTGTCATAATGATGGCTATCCACTCCCAAGCACTGAGTTCCCTGATGGCTGGACATAGCCAGAGCTCTAGGCTCCCCAGAAGCCTGGGCACTGGCCTGACAGAGCAGGTGCTCAAGACAAGTGAAACTAAAAGATGGCATCTTGGTGCTGGTAGTGCTGCCTAGCAAGTGTGAAGCCCTGAGTTCAAACCCCAGTACTACCAAATAAATAAGTAAATAAATAAAAAGGATGTAAAGGTGGCATCTTTACTCTCAGATGCAGCTGAAGGTCTTCTCACCAGAGACCACACCACTGACCAGCCTGAAGGAGCTTGGGAAGCGGCAAGACTTGCCCGCCCTTGAACAGTATCCCCCGCCACCTCCAAGTCTTGGCATGACCTCACTTAACCTTCACATGGCCGGGTGGGGACAGGACCTCAATCACCCCAACTAAAGCAAGAGTGTTAGGGTTAATCCAAACAGAGGAGGGAAAGCCATAGTTGGCTTCCTTTGACTCACTACCTGTCTCAAAACCTTTAGGACCCTAAGAGGCCACAGCACCACTTGCTCTCACTGTCTAGAGCAATTTCTAAGTACCCAGATGTGTGGGTGCAGGGAAAAGGAGGACAAGGGCACTTGTGGCACACCAGCATTTTGCATCTCCCCAACAGCTCCTCCAGGGCAGAGCTGGTCTTGCCTTTCCTTTCTCCCTAAGCATAAGGACAGTGCTACTATGATGGCACCTGGACATTCAGTGGTGTGGTTTTTAGGGTGGCCTTTCCATACTGGCCTGACTATGTATTAGGCAGAGAAGTATACACAGTTATCAAAAGGGCCCTCAGAGCTGGAGCCTGGGGTCCTTTGTAAACAGCAGCTATACCCAAATTCAGCCAGCCTTGCCCGAAGTGGCTGTGGCCTCTAAACATAGGCTTCAAGATATAGATCCAGTCATGATTACACTCTCAAGGCTGAGGGCACAGAAGCTGCCCCCCACCTAGGAAGTGCCCAGCAGGGTTTGTTTACATTCACGTGGTGGGAGAGCCACTTTCCCCAGCCTCACCAACCTCATCCTCCTCCCTTGAATAACTGAATTTTCACAAGTCAAGCAAGCTCTACCTACCCAACCTACCCACTCGTCATTCACAGCCCTCCGCACTTCCTGTCTCCAACCCAGTCAAAGGAAAACCCCAAATTTACTGTTATTGTTTATCAACCCAACTGCCTCCTCACCACAAGGTGTGGATGGCACTCAGTCTCAGTCCTTGGCTGGAGCAAAGGTCCAGCCTAGACCACAGACCCAGTTGGCTAAGCAACCCCTGGAGGGTGGGGCTCTACATGTGACAAAAACCACCTGAGTTTAGCATTTTAGGAAGCCTTAAACCCATTAGCTCACTGAATTTCTTACCACAGCCTCTTCCCCAGCTTAGTAGTATCACCCCTTTCATAGAAAGGGAACTAAACTTTCCTTAGCAGAGTAGAATCCAGTCCTTGTACCTGGAGGATTTCCACGTGCGCTCTGAAGTAGCTCTGAACATGGCAGCAGGAGATCCAGGTTACAGACTCACCCTGTGACCTTGGGCAAGTCTCCACTTCTCTGAACCTGCTACCTCAGCAGGCGCTTCTTTTTACGTATTTATTTTTTCTTTTATTCATATGTGCATACAATGTTTGGGTCATTTCTGCCCCCTTTCCCCTGCCCCTCTTATCCCCCTCCTACCTCTTCCCTCCCCCCCCACCCCCTCACTACCTGGCAGAAACTATTTTGCCCTTATCTCTAATTTTGTTGAAGAGAGAGTATAAGCAATAATAGGAAGGACCAAGAGTTTTTGCTAGTTGAGATAAGGATAGCTATACAGGGAGTTGACTCGCATTGATTTCCTGTGCATGTGTGTTACCTTCTAGGCTAATTCTTTTTGATCTAACCTCTTCTCTAGTTCCTGGTCCCCTTCTCCTATTGGCCTCAGTTGCTTTTAAGGCATCTGCTTTAGTTTCTCTGCGTTAAGGGCAACAAATGCTAGCTAATTTTTTAGGTGTCTTACCTATCCTCACCCCTCCCTTGTGTGCTCTTGCTTTATCATGTGATCGAAGTCCAATCCCATTGTTGTGTTTGCCCTTGATCTAAAGTCCTCAGCGGGCTCTTCTGGTGACATGATGGGGAGGTAACCCAGCATCAGGACTAGGAATTTCCAGAAGGCTCTCTTCATATCTCACACCACATGGGTGTTAGAGAAGCACACCCAGTTCGTCTGCCACACACCCTTGAAAGCCAACATCTCCTCTGGGACAAGTTTCTGTTGCCATCCCACCTGGGAGTTTTGCAGAAGCTGGTTACGTTAGAGACAGAGCATCCCAGGGCCACATCAGGGTGTAAGGTGGAGAGGGCTCTTGGCCCTTCACCTGAGCCATCCTCCCCGAAAGCAAACCCCAGGCTAGATCCTCACTGCAAGAAGTATCCTCCTGAACTAGAGGAAAGGAACTAGAGAAGGAAGCAAAACACAACAGTAAACATTGGGGCCTCAAGATGAGACAAGACTCTGTGGCAGAATAGTGAACCCAAAGATGTCCACACCTAGTTCCAAGACCTGTAGATATGTCACCTTATACAGCAAAAGGGACTTTGTAGGTAGCAGTAAGGTTAAGGACCTTGTGACATGGAGATTACCCTCGACTATGTAGATAGGCGCAATCCCATCACGTTGATCCTTAGAAGAATCCTTTTGTATCTAGGGTAGAGAGCAGTGACAGTAGAAGGATCAGAGAGATGCAAGGTGGCTGGCTTCAAAGATGGAGAAAGAGGCATCATGAGCCAAGGAATATAGGAAATCTCTAGAAACTGGACAAGGCAAGGAAATGGAGCCTCCAAAACATAATACAGCCCTACTTCTCATCTACCAAACTATCAGATAATAAATTTGTGGGTTTTAGCCACTAAATTTACCACAGCAGTAACAGGAACCTCTGAACTCAGACAGAGCTCTGACATCCTTCTCCCTTCTCCCCCAGCCTCCCTTCCTACCAGCTCTCCTTCCTTCTTGCCCCTGGGTTCTTATCACTCTAGCACTGTCATAAGCACAGGCCAAACTGGATTTTTTTTTTTTTTAAACAAAAGCTCCTGCTGGCTGATTCAGAGCAGTGCTCTCTAGAGTGATGAGAGAGGCTCCAGGAATCACAGGCTGAGTGGTAAGGACACGATCCCTTTGATGGATGAGGGACAGGCAAGCCTCTCCTCCAGGGAGAAGGTTGGTGGAAAGAGAACACCCAGGTCTTGGGCTCCTGAGGCCTGAGTTCTAGTTCAAACCCATAGCTGTGTGACCACCAGCACAGTGTTTCCATCAGTAAACCCATAAAATAGGGATAACTAACCATCCCACCTTGCCTTTCTCCCTACCAGCTCTTAGGATCACATAGATGAAATGATTTAGGTTGTGCTATTTCTCCACCTGACTGCGAGGGGCAGCAATGGCAGCAGCACACAAGATTCTAACCTAGGCCCCATCAAGGCAAATCAGCTCAGCACATGGTCTTTGATGAGACTGGCTCTCTGGAAACTCTCTTCCTTCAGCTCAGAGATAGGGCACTTCGGTATCTGCCTCACCCCTACTGCCCCCTCCTGGAATTCTCAGGTACTACACCAACCTGCTCCCCTGGTCTTTCTGGGGACTGGAACCAAATTCATCAACAATACCCCCTCTGAGGGCCCCAGGTAGCTGGTTCCCCCTAGGCTAAGGGTACCATCACCTGATAGTGGTTATGTAGCTCCATGAATCAGGTGGCAAAAGGCAGTTTGGCTCTTGAGTCAGTATTTAGAACAAGAGGAAGGATTGCTCCCCATTCCTCATTGCCTACCTCCCTCCCTTGGCTCTAAAGGAGAGCAGCATTCATGGTCCGCACCCCTTGACCATCCCCCTGGCCCTCAACAGGGAGGCCTTTCTCTCCCGTCCCAGGGCACCAAGCACACAAAACCTCTCTCCACCAGTACGAAGAGCAAAGGTGAAAGATCTAGAATCTGAGCCCCAGAAAAGACTAGGCAGAGAAACTTTCAACTATTAAATCTGTTTAGTAAAGACAATTTCGCTCATACAAAACAACAGTTTACAACAGTCTGAGTGCTGGACACACCATCACAGATGAGGGAGGGGCTGCAGACACCCAGGCCCAGGCCCTGCCCCAGGCCCAGAGGAGCCCAGGTGCCCCTCCACCACCACCCCTGAGGGAGCCACCCCTCCCACAAAGAGAGAATGGGAGACCATGGCACGAAGGACTCTCCCCACATGCTCCTCAATACTGGGGAGACCCCCCTCCCAGGCTGAGTTGTTGGGGGGTAGGTGGCTAGTGAGGAGGAGGCAGAGTCAGGACATCTTTGGTGCAAAGACTGCCCTCCGCCCACTAGGCCACACAGTGGAAATTTGAGGGAGGACCACAAAAGTGGCGTTGCCCTTGTCCATAAGACAAGGCTGGCTGATGCCCAGAGCCCAGGAGAGACTTGTGAGATGCAAAAGCTTTGTCGTATGACCTGGCCAGCCTCGTCCACATGAGCTGACAGGCAGCCCACTGAGAAATGGCTAAAAACTGAAGAAAAATCAACAAGAACAGGTTAATAATGGCAAGGAGAAGTAAAGGCTATTTGGTAGCTCAGCACCCCAGAGGACCTAGGACCGACACTACCAGGGAGAAGGGATACTGAGGGGGTCCAGTCTTGCCTATGGCTGTGCCCCTCTGCCTCCCTTCCCCAGCAAACAGAAAGGCCATGGTCACCTGGCTCCAGATGTGAACAGGTTTCCCAGGCACTTAGGCAGCTCATATGGGCGGGAGAGTTCTGAAGTCACAGCAGGACCCCTTGCAGCCATGCCTGCCTGGGCCCCTTGAATGCACAGCCCCAGTGCAGATCTGGGCACGCGCACATGCACACACACTCACACTCGCTCCTATTTGTCGGGCACACTGGTGATGTCTGAGGGCTTCAGTAGAGGAGGTGGGCAGCACCCCCATTTCAGGGGAGCCTTGAACTCCCAGACTCCTGAGCCAGAGGGGACCCTGGGCTGCACTTGGAAAACAGGAAGGGCAGATAGGACAACACAAGGACATTTCCTGTAACGGTTTCCACAATACCCTTGGATAAGCCCCAAACCTTTGCAGTATCCAGAGGGGATGGGGCCTGGGAGAAAGGAAGAGGAGTATGGGAGAAGACAATAAAAGAGGTTCCATAAAAATTCTGTCAAGTGACTGATAAAATTGCAAAACTAGCGCAGGTTCGAGAGCACCTTGCCCCTCCTCTGCAGCCTCCCACCCTTCTTCTCTGGGTGGCCAGAGCCAAAGGCAGAATTCTACCAAGGCGGTTCCAGGCTCCATGCAGCTGAAGAGCAGAGGAGGTGGAAGTGGGCAGTCTGTGTCTCTTCGTTTAAAAAACATATTCACGTAGAGAGTTATTGCTTGTCCTCCAGTAGAGCAGGAGGGCACGGCGGCTCAGTGGGCAAGGGCCGCTGCCTCCAGGGCCCGAGCTTTCTTCCGCCTCTTCAGAAGCAGAGGGTTGGATGCATCTTCAATCTTTTTTATCTTGATCTGCTCATAGTCAACACGCATTGTGGCCAAGGCACTGGTCATCTCCTCCTGGGGGCAAGGCAGTGGGAATTGCATGAGAAAGGCACAAGAGGAAGAAAAAGAATGTAATAGAGAGAAAGGGCAGAAGAGAGACGTGAGAGACAAGACACAGACAGGGCCAGAGGAAGGTGCAGGTTGAGTGCAGGAGAAAAGAGGACAGGCCAGTTAGTGGATCCATGCTGCTGAGAGCAGTGTCTCCCAGTGCTGGGTCAGCAGAGCCTGATGCTGCTGCTCTCCCAGGAGCCCTCCTATGACCCCATAGGAGACAGAAAGAGCCCTGGACCAGGAGTCAGGAGCTCTGCATCTAGTCTTAGACAGCTGACACCTGTGTGACCTAAAACAGGTTACTGGCCCTCTCTGGGCTTCAGTTTCCTCATCTGCAAAATGAGGAGATGTACCAGATGGTCTTTAAGGTTCCACTGGAGACCCACAGAGTAGAGGGGTAGAGGGCTTGTAGGAAACAGCCACCACAGAATTTGGACAAGAGAACTTCTGCCTAAAAACTGGCAGGGAAGTAGCTGAGTCACAGTTCTTATTAGAGACATCCCTGGGAGAGATGACCTTAGGATGAAGAATACAGATGCAAACTGTCCCTGGCTGGCACCACCATTCACACTGGGCACTCCTGGTAGGCTGCCTCCTTTGAGCCCTCCCACCCTGAGGCACCCCCCTCACCTTGACATCCTCCCACCGCTCCTTGTCCTCCTTCAGAACCCGGCTGGTGTGCAGTGGAGTCTGAGGGACCTTTGTAGATTGCTGAGGAGAGAGAAAAGGGAGCAAGTGAAAGCCTGGGGCGGGTGAAGTCATGACTAAGACCCTGTCATTGTGAGGGGCAGTCTCCTTGAATCCAGGTCTCCCAGCCCACAAGGCTCACCATGATCCAGGGGTGGTTCATGAACTCCGTGATGGTCATTCTCTGAGTGGGCTCTGTTTTCAGCAGGTTCCGGATAAGCATCTTCACTGTGGGGTGGGACAGGGAGACAGGGAAAGCTGAGGCTACTCCACCACAGTTTTTCAGAGAAACCAGTCTTAAAAGGGGGTCATGTGGAGATAGGCTCCCTCAAGGAGCTGTGGCCTTAAGGACCATTGTGCTAAAAAACTTGACGGCCCCACAGTCCTGGCCAGGCCTCAGGCCTGTCACACAGGCAGAGCACACCCAGGTGTGGGCCCAGACGCAGGCTCACAGTTCTACCACCCAAGTGAGTATGTGCATGAGTGCATGTGCAGTATGCACACACATGCATGTGCACACAAGCTCTTCCCCTTGTCCCAAAGGGCTGAGCTCCTACCTTCCTCCGATACTTCCGACCACTCTGGGTTGGGAAATTCATACTGGCCCATTCGGATGCGAGTCTTCATGCCCGGAGAAATGGCAAGGCCGTGATTAGAGTAGAAGGGGGGATACCCACACAGCCTGCATCCACAAGAGCCGGGAAGAGAGAGACAGAGCAGGTTGTTATTTAGGCCCTGCAATAGGAAAAGTGTGGATCAACAGCCTCTTTTCCTTGTAAAGTCATAAAGGTATCAGGGTTCTTTGATATAGATACAATATACAAAAAAAAAGGGCAGGACAGGGCCCAGAATCCAACATACCAAGGATCTTAACTGCTTGCCCATTAGCTAGCTTCTACCACCACTTGACAAACAGAATCCACTAAACATTGAGAGAAGAGGGTATGCAGGGGCTTCCCAGGGAATCCCTCTTCCTTGAGAGGAATCTGACATTTGCTTCTTCCTCTTCTCCTGAAGAGGTACCATCCTCCCTGAATCCTTGCTCCACCACAGCCCAGCCCATCTAGCCCCCTCCTCAGCACACTCACAAGATGTACATGATGACACCCAAGGACCACATGTCACAGGACTTGTCATACTTCTCTGGCCCCAGCACTTCCGGAGCTGCAAACCAAAAACCAAGATGGGTGGGCCTGGCCCTCAGAACATTGCAGCCTGCCCGGTTTCTCTGTGGATCATGCACTCCATCCCAACCCTTCCACCCATCATGATGGAACAGCAGCTAGGCAGGGAGGAAGGGCAGAAGACCCTCCCCAAGGAGAAACCCCACAGCTAGAATCTTAAGATGAATACATCCCTAAAATATTCCTGAACTACTGGGGACTTGCAACCCAACTTGTCCATTTAATGTCACAAATTGCTTTGGAACCTTATTCTGGAACAGTCAGCTGGATCCCAAACTCCACTGAGAACCTGATGGCGCTCCACAGAAGGAGTGCACAGGCACACAAAGTCCCGCCTACAACCCCAGGCAGATGGTTTCTACAGTTCCTCGGTCCTAGCTTAACAACCACAGCCCTGTTTCGGATAGGGTCCTGTCAGAACGAGCACCAGAAAGGGCCATAGAGGACCTGACTTCCCTAGGATCTGTGACCCCCTGAGATTGGAAAAAAAACAGTGGTGACACAACACAAATAGTGAGAAAAGATTAGGTCCCTTGGGCCTCCTCTGAACTTACCCACATAGTACGGTGTATAACAAGGAGTGGTCAAAGAGTTGTGACTGGTAGTCTCCTTGGCAAAGCCAAAATCAGTGAGTTTCAGAATGGCATTAGGTCTTTTGGAGGTGTATAAGAGGTTCTCGGGCTACAGAAAGAAAAAGAGACAGATACATAACCACCCTGTTGAACCTGAGAGGGGCTGTCACAAACCAAGAGTACAGACTTCATCCAACAACCAATCATCCACTCAACAACCAGTCAGCCTCTGCTGCACACCATGTGGACTCTGTGCAACCAGTGCCTGCCTTCCCAGAGCTTACGGAGGACCTGGGGGTGACAGGCCAGCACAGAGAACCATGATGAACACTACAGGGACAGAAGCCAAGGAGTGACAATGAGATGCTGATGAGAACCACAGGGCCGAGAGCAGCTATCGGGTTTGTGGTTTGTCCATGAGCAAGAAGAATAGGACCCCACAGGGTAGAGATGACATGCTGACCCAGTCTGTACCCAGGAAGTGGACAGTCAGGGTGTGAGTGACTCCAGAAGCCCTCCTAAGGCTGAAATACCTCCTAAGTAACATGAGCTCTGCAGAAGGTGGCTGGTGTTCCCCCCACCAGTCTGTTCCAAGCCCTGGCCCCCATGTCGGCATTCCCACTGATGTCACCAACCCCCACACCTGCAGGCTCCTCCTAATTCCCCCATCAGCATCTTTCGCAGCCCCTCCTTCTAGGCCTCAGGCCCCTACCACACAGCCAACAAAGCACTCAGCATGCGGTATAAACAGCTGGTACCTTGACATCCCGATGAGCAATGTTGATTGAGTGCAAATACTGAATGGCCTCGCCAATGCTCTTCATGATTTCTGATGCTTCTACACAACAGAGAAAGATGTGTCTGTCATTAGGCTTGAAAACCATATACCCTGCCCTGCCCCTGGCACCAGCCATAGCTAACCCCCGGAAACAAAGAAACCAGAAGCTGCCCAGTCCTCGGAGGGAGACACCCCGGTGGACAGCCCACAGAAGCAGCAGCTTCAACCTGTTTTTTGGCAGAGGCCCTGCACACTCCCACTGCCCTGCCCACCCAACCCCATCCCCAACAGACCCTTTCTACCTCTTTCTGTGAATGCTTGGTCTCCTCGGTCCTGGATTCGGCTAAAGAGTTCTCCACCATCCAGACTGAAAGAAAGCCACAGTGAGATCCAGGACCGGTAGCCCCCACCATGTGCCACTGCACCCAGAAGTAGTCAAGCTTTTATGTTCCAAGCTTCAGAGTCCACACTGAGCGTGGCATGGGGACAAGGGGACAAGCTGAGCAGGAACCCAACAGGAGACTGCTTACCACTCCATGACAATCAGCAGGCACTTCCTTCCCGCATATAGGTTCTCATAGACGTCCACGATGCGCACGATGTGTGGGCACTGGGAGGCCCGCCAGTGCAACTCCACCTCCCTGCGCGCCTTGGGGCAGTCCTGGAGCATCTGCAAGGCCAGCATCTCCTGAGTCATGTGGGCTTTGCAGGAGGTGGCTGGCGCTCCCCCCAAGAGCATGTTCTAAGTCCCAGCCCATGTGCCAGCATTCCAATCATTGATGCCACAAACCCCTCACTCTACAGACCCCTCCCAGTCCCTGCAGCATCTTCCCTGGCCCCTCCTCCTGACACTGAGAGGACATAGCAGCAACTTTATCTGCTCTCCACAAAACCTCACTATGACCCCTCTAGAGCCTTGAGATCTAGGCTGAGATCAGCCCCCAAACCTACTTCAACCAACTGCACTTTCTGTTTATGAAGTCTACAGAAGGCAGGCAGCAGTTGGTTATCGGGGACAGGGTGGAGGGATGTGCAAAGAAAGACACTGAGAGGAACCGGTACAGTAATGGCAAGGGGCCTAGAAGGGAAATTCCAGAACCAGCAGGAAGGGGCACCTCCATGATTAGTTAAACCCATACACAAGACCAGGCAAATATTCTTTTTACCCATGGTTTACTTCACTCAACCAGCCAACAGCCTCCAGAGTCAGCCAATTGTAGGCCTGAATCTCAGTTCTTAACGCATTTGCAACCTTGAGAAAGTGACGTAACTAGGTAACTAGCTCCTCTCTTCCTCTCTGGACCAGGTGTCCGGGGTGCAAAGTGAAGCCTGGCCCTCACCAGTCCCAGGGGTTGAACCTTGACTACTGTGAGCCGTGGTCATTTGTTCCATTCCTTCTGCCAGTGACTGGCTTGAGAACAAGCCTAAGACCCAATGGGACCAGAAGAACTTGGCAGGAAATCTAAGAAGCCTCCACAAAGGAGCAGGATTCTACATCATCTCTCCTATATTTGGCTCTGGGGCCATGCCAGTCACCTTCGTACCAGTAAGAGGGCCAACCAAAGAAAAAATACAGTGTACTGAAGAAGACAAGCAGGAGAGATGGCAACCTGATTCTTGTCGCATCCCTGAGTACCTCATCACTCCCCATGACTTCTTGGTAAAACAATAAACTTTCCTGGTTTTTTAAACTGCTTTCACTAGAATTTTTATATTGCTTAGAGCCAAGAGCATTCTCAGACAGCTATCTTTCATAAAATGCATTAAGAGCCACTTTTTCATCAACATGATGAGGACTAAATGAAATATTTCTGCAAATCACCTAACAGAAAGCCTGGCTGCTCAGTAATAACTATCATTTTTATTACAGCATTGCAAAGTGCATGACACAGATGCCAAAATCACTAAGACAAAGACCCTCAGACTTATCAACTATGTGAGAAGTCAAGATCATCCCTATACAGCACACACCTAACTGCTTTGCACAGGTTAAGGGTTGTGGGTCAGGGAGCCAGGCTTTGAAGAAATGGACAGGCAGAGGGAAGGCATTCAGGCAAGGGACACGGGACAGGTGGACACGGAATGACTAAGCTGGAGTACAGCTTGGCAGTATGGGGAGATGGTACAGCAGAGGGCTAAGTGACCTGCTGGGAAGTGCATGGAGCTTGGGAAGATCACATGGCCAAAACGCAGCCAGAGGTATACACCGAATTTCCAACCATACTAGCATACTTTGGTGCTGTGGTTCAAAATATGCTGGATCTTTTCTAACTGTTTAACAATGCCCACTTTACAAGATGAGGAAACTAACCCTACAGAAATATCATACCAAAGGCTAAGTTTCTGGGAAAAGTCACAGCCAGGGTTGGAATGAAGCCTGATAAGACTCCAAAGCCCAAGCCTTCACCATGCCACCCAGTTTTAAGAAGCTAGAGGCTGAACTTCAGGTGCAATTCCCCACCCAGATGTCCAGAAAGAATCAACTAGATGGCTAGCTGTCTTCCCTTGAGTGTGCTGGAGCCATTAATGAGTTGCAGGAGGTTACAGCCCTTGTGGGGTCACACTGCCACCTTGTGGGCATATGAAGCACTGCACAGGTGGACCAAGAAAAAGTTTGTTGTACTTTCCGGTGAGGAAAAGGCCAATTTCATTTGTATATAATTCAACTCAATAAACATTGACTGAGATCCTATTAGGACCCACACACTATGCTGAATGTCAAGACTGAATGGAACAGTCTCAATCTGAAAGTTGAGGCTAGGAGGGAAGGGAGAGAGAAGGTAGACACAGAAAACACTTACAATCCAACTCGTTCTTCCTGCTCTCCAGCACCATGCAGGTTGGAAGTGAAAGGGAGAGACCCACCTGCACATCTGTGGGGGGAGTGGAGGCAGTCGGCTGGCAGCCAAGGGGTTGGAGCAGCCCCCAAGCCAGGTGCCTATGCTTTCCAGAACTAGATGCCCTGCCAGATCCTTTGCATTCAGGAGAAACTAGAAGATGACCACCCACTGTGCAGGCCGTGGGACTGAGGCAGAAGTCCCGAGAAAGGTAAGGGTGCTGGAGTATGAGTTAAGAGAGCTAAGAAAGGCTCAGATACTGCAACTTCCACTTGGGATCCAGAACACATCCATCTGGGGACCAAATATGACCTAAGCACAGGTATCTATGGTCTAAACTTGTATGTGGTGCTGAGCTGGCCAGGTTTTACATCACAGACCAAAAATGCAGGACAGGCTGCCATGGGGCCAAAGATGCAATCAGCAAAGAGGAAGGGCATGCAAGGTTCCAGAAAAAATGTGACAGAATCATTCTCCCTGGCAAGCAAATTCCCATTCCTATCCAAAAGATCAATGAAAAGTTCCCAGTGGCAGGGCATGGCATATCCCTATAATCTCAGCTCCTAGGAGGCTAACGCAGGAGGATCTTGAGTTCAAAGCCAACCTGGGCTACCTAGCAAGAGCCTGTCTAAAAACAAAAAAGCAAAACACAAAATGTTTTTCAACGTTTTCAGTGAAATGTAATTTTTAAGTGCTTAAAAACCCACTGAGATAATATGTTGTAAATGTGCTAAATTCGAAGTGTTTAGAAGCACAAGTTTACCGAGCAGCCAAGCAAGAAGGACCTCTGTCGCCCCCAAGAGGCACATGTGAACAGAGGCCTGCCTGAAGAGGAAGAATCACAGCTGTCAAATTTACTACAACAGAGGCGATGAGTGGTTTTGGATTTACAGCCAGAAAAGATGTGGACCCGGGTCTGGAACTTATCAGTTGATTTCTGGTTGCATAGCCTTGGAAAGGCCATTACCTGTCCAATTCTGTCTAAAGCAGGGATGATGATAGCTGCCTGCCTCCCCTCACAGAGTACTTGTAAGCATCTATTGAAATAAAGCCTCTGAAATATTATTTGGTTCTTCTGTTTCGGTTTTTTTTTTTTTTTTTGGCAGCACTGGGGTTTGAACTCAGGGCCTTGCACTTGCTAGGCAGGTGCTCTACCACTTGAGCCACTCCACTAACCCTTTTTGCTGTAGTTCTTTTTGGGGTAGGGTCTTGCTTTTCTGGCCCAGGCCAGCTTGGACTGCAATCTTATGCACACTCAGCTTTATTTGTTGAGATGTGGTCTCACTAACTTTACTTGGTCTGGCCTCAGACCGCAAACCTCCCGATCTACGCCTCCTGAGTAGCCTAGGATTACAGGTGTGAGACCTGGCTTCTGAAGTGCTTTGTTATCAGAAAGGCACTCAACACTGCAAACCAGGAGCATTGCTGACATGGAATTGGGGGGCACCGAGCTGAGGCTAGACCCATATAAAAGGCTGGCTCTCAGTCTTTAGCCCAGTAACCACAGCCCTGCACCCCCCCAATCAGCTCCCTATTCTATCCAGCCAGCACCGTGCTTGGTGAGGATGCACCAAGATCCAAACCTCAATGCAAGCTCTGCTCTTTTTGTCTTAGGCAAAAGAGAAAAAAAAATGTAGTCAGATGTATATTCTGAGGTACAGCACACTTCCAAACTCACATGAATTCTTCACCTGTTAGAGGGAGCAGGTTGGTGGGGTACAGTAAAACTGGGCCTTGGAATCCCACACATTCTGAACCCCAGTTCTGCACTTGCTAGCTTGTATCAGGAAGCCAATCAACCTTGCTGAAAAGAATTTCCTCATCTGTCAAACCAGACTCACTTTCATGAAATCCTATCTTTGAAGATACTTTTCTCTTTTAAAAAAAATTACCATTTTGTATATTTATGCCTTATTGCCTCAATCTGAATTTCTGAAGGACAAAAAGTTAATGTGATTTGTTTAATCCCTCCCCTCACCCAGTGGTAAATGTTTAACTTTCTCCTACATTACGAAAAAGGAATTTCTGAGTACTCCTCCACCCCATCCTGTTGCTTCCTCTCCCTAAGCATCTAAACTGTCACTCAGGGGACCGTCCCCTAAAGTGACCAAGAGTGAGGGAAGCCAGCTGCCAGCAGGTTTATCCCCTCTGCATGAAGTACACTGGAGGTGATTAAAAGTATTCTTAATACTTAGAGAGGCACAGTTAGAATTTCTCAGGAAGACTGGCAATTGATATCTAGCCAGGCACATGTTTACCACAAATCCCTAGTTGGATATGAAAAGTAACCCCAGCCATGAAAGCAAGACCTTTGAATTGGTCAGGCAGGCTGGCTGACGTAATAGGCAGAGTCACAAAATGCCAAACACATTTGCAGACAAGTATGGAGCACAGACAGCCAAGAGAGAAATGAAGAATCTGATAATCCAGAGTAGAGGCTAAGTAAAGAACAGAAGGGGGCAATGGAGTAGCTTGAGCTCTGACCTGGCAGAGAGAGGGGAAGCAAGCAACCAGGGCACTGCCAGGGGCCACCAGCAGAATGAGCAAAGACAGCAGGTGCCACCAGAAGGCAGGAAGGTGCTGCGTAGGAACAATCTTACTCCTCTGACACAGACAGGGCAGCAGAGGCCAAAATGCCCAGGACCACAGTTCAGAAGGCCAGAGACTGGAAGAAGAAAGGACCTTCCCACTGCAAAGCCACAGGCTTTTAGTCAAGGAGTGCCTAGGAGGACTATGAAATGTGTGATGCCCACACTAAGCCTAGAACTGATTGTGACTATAGAAAAGGTTAAGTGTTGCGTGTGCAGGACTGCAGTGCAACAGCCAAGGCCAC